GCCTTGGACAACCTTGGTGCAATCCACAGTCGCCCGCATCATCACCAGCCTCCGCATCTCAGCAGAAGTATAGTTTCGTTGAAGGGGCATAGAAGATGTTGCCTGTCGATGTTGCTTGTCATGAATGCGAGGTGAGCCTCTCAAGGAATAGAGGGTGCGAATCTACATCATCCAGCCTATGAAAAAAGTGGGCTGCTGCATGAAAACCACTGTCCTCCAGTGCCACAGACGTAGAACATGTCAAAGACTCAGTCTGCATGGACAATGGTTCTTAGATGCTCGCAGACAACGAAGTTGCGCGGGCTACTCGCAGTTCGCAGAATTCGTCCTAGTTTGACTCCAGCAATGTTGGCACGGTTTATTCGTATACCGGGGCAGGCCATGAGCAGAAGCTTGGCACAACAGGTAGTTGACAACGTGGTTGATGAAAGCACTTGCCGCAAGACGGCTGCTGAAACAGCAGCTCTTTTGGATTTCACCTCGGCGCATAGATTCTTTCCCAACGCTCGCTCAAAAACTGGTGTGGCTGGTTGTTTAGTGATCTGAACTCTACCACAGCAGGTGTGTGTGCAAGGCCAAAGAAGCCTTTTATTATCAAAAAGCATCCGCAGTCATTGGCTCTGAGCCCAACTGCAAGGGCACCGTACATTCAGCCTCAACGCTAATCCCCGCGTGAGGTGGATCACCAGCTAGATCACTCAGGAAATACTTGTACGCAGCGCCGACCTCATACCATGGCAGAAATTGCACGGTGCGACTAGGAGTGCTTCTAGCAAAACCTCTTTCATGAAGATTGCAGACAACTCAGGCCATGCGTGCATCTCTTCTTATTGCCCCTCGGCCGTCGAGAACAGCGAAAACGACTCACGGCCATGCTGCCCCAGAGAAAGCCTAGCTGGCACAGCCTGCCAGAACCCAAGGCATATCATCTCTGCCTGGCTGCAGCCGACCCTGTGCGGGCACAGTCCATGATGCAGTCCAGGCACCCTAACAGAAGGAGGTCACACCGTAAGTTACATTGTTCCGTCTCGTGTGAAGTCTCAGCGTGGATCCTGGGGAAGTGCAGGCTGAGAGGAGCGAAGTCACCAGCGCAGTTCGAGGATGACGTGCGCGGCTTAGGAAAAGCTGTCACAACGGTTTGGAGCCACATCCATATGCATTCTATTGTGTTTTGTTGGATGTCGTACAGTATACAACTTAGTAGGAGCATTTCATGGAGGAGTTTCTGAGGTGGGTTCTTGTGCAACATCTCGCCATTTCCGAAGAGAATTCTTGCATGGAAATTGTCGGTCACATCCCCACGCACCTGGCCGTGTTTTCCAGGTGAACACTTTCGATGGCTTGTGGTGAACCGTCGACACTGGCGGTGTGAACTATGTCTACCTAGGAAAATAAACCCATGCATGAGCGTCTTGGTGCGTCGTGTTGACTTCTCTCGCCGAAAGCCCACGCCGGACGCCGGTAAAGGGGATTGCATGATCTCTCGGCTGTGTGGTTCTCACTAAGGGTTTCCAGGATGCTTTCATGGAGGAAAAGCATGCTGGCTCCGCAGAGAAGGAATGGCGTCGCATCGCAAAGCATATTCATGTGACAAGTGAGAGCGTAGACCATGCAATATGGTCATATTTCTTGATTTGCAATTGCCAGAAACTGAGCCTGTTGAAGATCCGACCCAACAGGTCTGTAACAGTACACATAGCACTAGCACAAGGCCTCGGCGCTACTGCGGGCCTCGGCCGGGGGGGACCATATGTCTAACGAACCCTGCAACCGGCAACTGCCTCAAGTGGGTCTTGGAAGCGAACTTGAGGCTTGCAGGAGGGTTTTCCGGACTTGTCCCCCGCTTTGTCGGAAGTTCCTTTCATTTCCCTAGAGGCACCTGGCCAGAGGGACTTATTCTCAAACGTTTCACATCCTGTTCTTGGGGGAGGGTTCCACGAGCAATTGGGTGCTTGACGGTTACATTGAGAGGTGCCCTGAAAGGGTCTGTGCGGGCAGAAGGACGGTGCACAGAAGCGGATGCCGGTCCAACAGTGCAAAGCTCTGGTCCCTGATCTTGGTTGTTCCCCGATGGGGTGTTTCGGAGGTTGTCGGCCTCGAGAACCGAAGCCTCAGGCTTGTCCAGGTTCGGAGGCTGAAACGGGTGGATGGCTTTATATATTTAGGCGCTCTTCAGGGGGCTTCATGGAAATTTTACGGGGGGGGGGGGGGGGGGGGGGGGGAGGGTGGTCCGACACTCGGAGCTTAGCAAGCCCTTAGTAAGGCCTGCTGTTGTTGCGCTTATTGTTGGTTTTCAGAGTGTACCATGGCACGCACGCTCTTGGCTTCGAAGTCAAAGGCACCCGGCAGCGGGTGAGGCTGCGACATGGTGCGACTGCTGTAAATGATCATAAATAAGATATAAAAGAATGATATATCAATAATAATAGTAATAATCATAAAATAAACAGTAATAATAATATATAAATAATAATATTCCATTGAGTGAGCTTTTTTCTGAGGCCAGGCCGAGCAGCGGCGTGGAGTCGTCGTTCGCAACTGCGGTTCTGGGCAGCTCAGCCACACCAGTCTACACTGGAATCCTATATCCCCCTTGGGAATTGTAATCTGTATTAAGGTTCTAAGGGGAGTATAGAATCTATAGGAAGACTCAGCAAGTTGGTACAGTGACAGCGATGGGTAAGAAACCTCACGTTTGAATCCCTGATCTTGTAAAAAAAGCTCCTGGCCACTTTCAAAAGTACCTCTGCAAGTAACTCAATGGCACACTCGATTGTCCGGAAAGTGCCTACTTGCTTGTGTTCCCATCTCCTGCAACGCGATGTCCGGCCGCAAGCGTTAGGAATCTTGTATTCTCGCGCCTGTGAATACCCTCGACTTGTTCAGCTTAGTGCCCTCACTTGGTGCACAGCCAGTCGACGGTGTTTCTTCTGCAGCGCTGTCACTGCATTATCCATTCCAGCTGGTTTGGGGGTGGCTAGTTTTTACATACCCATGCGACTTGTCGACCACGGACATGCATGAAGAGTGTGTGGCGTGATTCCCGATAAATTCCTGTGCCATGCGCGGTGGCTTCGCAAGATAGCATGCCTGACAGCTTAAACATTGACAAGGTCAACGTTATAGCGATGATGATGAGTCTTGTTCAGCTGAAGGCCTGCGCAGATCACTCATCTGCAGTGCATGTTAGGGGTGGGCCTTTTTCTTGCGACCTTGTCTCTTAATAAAGTTGAGGCGCCTCTGAGTCTCATCGGAATCCGAAGTAGGGCCAAGCAGGGCAATGCATTGCCTGCTGTGGGTTCATCTTTCGGATACGTTTGATCTCGGGTGCATCAAAGGTGTCGTGAAGATACAGCCGCACTAGGGGCGATGTATACCAACCCGGCATACCTTGTGATGCCTTGTGATGCCTTGTCCCCGAGAGAGGAATTACGCCGGGCGTATGTGCGCTGGCCTCGTTGGCGAGGTCAGCGCCTACGCTGCTGGCTAAGCAGGCAGTGGAGGGTTCTGATTCTTTCCAAATGCTGTCCTCATACTTGTGAAGAAGGTCAGCAGTGTGATCCAGCAAGCTGCCATAACATTACGCGGGTATCTCCGCTTCAGAATGTGGAGTGGACATGTCGGTTGCGCTGGGTAGCGGCTGCTACTGTTCTGAACTGCTTCAAGCTCAAGTTGCAAGTTCACAGGCGGACTGCGACAAGCAGGAGAGCAGAGACAGGCTGGTATGTACTTAACTAGAATGTATTCATATAGTGGCCCAATGAGTGAGCAGATCAATGTGAACTGCGGACTCCTAGCGCCAGGCTGGAGAGAGCTCTCATTGCGGAGATTGAATCTGCTCTGGCTGGGAATCATGCCGGAGACTGGGCAGCACGGCGTGTGTCAGCCTATCCTCGCTCATCGCGCTCTGCAGCTAACTTTGGACTTTAACCGTTAGACCCTCTTCAGTCTGTCCAAACCGCTGGGAGCCTAAGCTGTCACCCCAGCCGAAATTTCTTCCGAATTAGTCTTGTTCTAATTCTACCAAAGCTTTAGTATGTCGCTGGACCCTGCTTAAGGAAGTTTCATTTTTGAGCCCACTAAAGAGGGTCCAACATGAGTGCGAACTGTTGAGGACATGTATGTGGCTGTAGCAGTTGCAAAAAGGCGTCATAGCAGCATCAGGAATTAACGGCACCCAGCTGCAGAAGCTTGAGAAGGCATCTTGTCTTGAACAGTGGCTTTTACAGGGCGCGTTGCAGAATGTCGACTCAGCAAGCAAAGGCTGCTGGTAGTACATGTTGACAGTTGCGGCCATGGAGTATTTACATCATGGCTGCTTTGGCAGTTCTTTGCCAGCCAATGCAGGAGCTGAAGCCCATCTTCGCGACTTTACAACAGGCCGAGGGATTGAAGAACGGACTGGGATATTCAGCAGCGAGGTACCTGCCGCGGCCTTGGTGGTATGCCCTCCTCGAATCTGGTTCATGTAGGAATGTTAGGTCGTAAGCCTGGAAGTTGTTACAAGGCTGCACCAGCATTTCTTGCGCCAGCACGCCCGGGCCAGAGCAAACATGCACGGAGTTTTCCACAGCCCAAGTTGCGACCGTCAGTTGGGGGTTGCCTTAAAGTTGGCTGCGCTTGTTCTGCGAGCAGTGGTACTTGAGAACCGAGGCTTGGTACGTGCGAGGTCTAAACCCTGCCGGTGACGGACGCAAACCGCCGGACAACAAGGAGAGGTGACTTCCAGTGTAGTTTCCAAGCCGGAGGGCCGCTGAAACGCCCCGGAATATTGCTGAGGGTACATGGTCAAAGGGATACAAGTGTTTCCCTCTACTTCATATGTTGCACATGTTGAGATGGATTGTAAGGGGGGTTGGGGGTCTCACCACCTCGCTCTTCCATGTAACGTACCAGCAAGTGAGCCTTCCTAGGTGCTAGGCCGCTAGGCCGGCGCCAAGAAGCTTTAAGGCTGTTGACTTTGTGGCTTCCTTCTGGACCCTTTCCTTCCTCCGTCCCCCATGTCCGTTCGAGCATGTTCCGTCCTCTCCAGGAAGCCCTTCGTGGCCGAGTTGCAGGCCATCTCCTTGAGGCAAGTGTCGGGTGTAACGGGAGTAACCGGGGCTCTTGGAGATGGGCAGTCGGATATCAGGGGGGTGGAGGATAGAGGCCCTTGGTATCGCTAGAGCTCTCAGCACACGAGGTTATGGAGAACAAGGCCGGCGAGCAGGGACTCGACCTGCGCATGCTGGCGGTGTTCGTTGCCACTCTGGAGCGTTGCCTGAGCCATGCAGCCACAAGCCTAAGCAGACTTAGAGAATCTTAGAGACCTAGCGGGCGTACTTCAACTATGAGCGACACCATCTTCTCAAATGAGGAGCACCTGATCCACGGGGACCAGCGGGAGCGCTTGAAGCAAGCCTGGCTCGTGCACGAGCTGCGGCCTGAGGGCTCGACCACAGGTGAAGGACGCCTGCGTTGCGATGTCAGCGAGACCGGTGGCAAATATAATATAGACCGTATTAGAAGCCCGAAGCCTTTGCTGCAGAGCCATTTCACCAGATGCTGTGGAGGACTCCTCAGCGTGCTTGAGGCAGGAGGTTGCTGCCTGCGAGACTTCCACTTGAAATGAATCGCGGGCAGGTCTTCATGGCCCATTACGTGTATGTGAGCCAGAAGGTGGACAGTGGATACGCCACTCGCATGCCTCACTAAGCTCACTACAGTTTCGCGTAAAATACTTGCTGGGCAGCAACAGATTAGCAGCCTTCAAATGTCTGAGCTCACAAAGTAAAGGTCGGACATAATGCAGATGGCCTTGCTAGCTACCAGTACCCTGTACCGGCTTTCGCATCGCCCGAAGCATCGGAGTGCAAAGATGCCGCTCAAAGTTTGTCATCTCAAGCTTGGTGCCGATCCTTCACAGCCCACGCACGCGGATCCAAAGTCGATGCGCGTCGAATTCCAAGCGGCTGCGTGTTGTCGAGACTGGTTTAGAAAGTTGCCTTGTTGAAAGGAAAACTAGAACTATGAAAATGAGCCCCGACCAGGGATGCTGTCCGAGCTCCAAGCAAAATTCCACGCAACGGATAAAACTTGGGGAAAGAAAAGGCCATAAACCCTTAGGAGAGCTGCAAAGAAGGGATAGGGCAAGCCGGGGCGGCGCTGGCGAGCCAAGGCACTAACGCTGCCCAAGGCCCTGGAGGAAGTCAACACCATCTCTCGCATTTACGGAGGCGAAGATAGATTGTCGTGGCAAGGAGGTGACCCCAAGCTGTTGTATTGAAGGATGGCCGCAGATCCGTTCTTTCATCCACGACCAGGCAGCGTGCACAGTCTTGCGGGCAAGTGCGTGGTAGTGCCAGCATCACCAAGGTGGAGAAGGCACTGCTCAAGAAAAGCAGTCTGACCTTCGATGATGCAGCTGAAGCAGCCGATGCCGTCCTGCTGCTGTTTCAGGAGGTGCACTCTCAGCGATGCTGTTGCACCTTGATGCGTTGGGCTTGTGTCATTCCTTTTGGCCTGGACCGGCTGTTTGAAGGTGTCTGGTGCCATGTGCCACGACCCCTTCCCGCATCACAGAGAGAGAGAGAGGGATCCTGATGCTGCCAGCCTGACATCGGCTACCGAAACCCTTCGGAACGATCTACCGAGGACATGGAAAGGACCTTCCAGACCTTGCGAGGGGGCGACCGGGGACTCGTTCGGCTTTCCGAGCTGAGAACCGCTGACGGAGGAGACCGAGAACTGCAAAAAGTAACCAAGTGTCCAGTCAGAAGCAGCCCCAAGCAGCCGAAGTACCCAAGTTGTTTGTGTATGACAGCGGCATACTCCATCGGTTTGGATCCTGCGTAGATTGGATGGCATGGCGGTGCACTCCAGGGAGGGCAAGGTAGATAGTGTAATTTAGCCAGGCAGTCCATCAAGGCGGCATCCAAACCCCGACACACGTATGTGGAGCCTCAAGCAGCTGAAGGGGCGCCAAGCACTCCCTTAGCGGATGCGCCCCGAAGGCCGACCTTTCCCCGACTGCTAAGGTGCGCCTACCCCATGCAAAAGATAAGGGTGGCCGTGAATGATGGGAAAGAAAGAAAAAACGAAAGAACATAAAGGAAGGGAACAGAAAGCAGCAAAAAACAAAGAAAGAGATATACCCACAGGAAGACATACGAAGAAGAGAGCTACGAGACTTATTCCATCAACGCCCACCTACTCACAGGCAAACAGGTGCGCGACAGTTTCGGGGACTATGTCGGGTGGAGGCCCTAGAGTCCTACAAAAAGGAAGAAGCGAGTTAAACTTGCAGGAAGGGAGAAGCAGCGAAAGTCACTACTGTCCCGGGCATGTTCAGCAGGAGACCTCTTCCGGGAATCAGTGGATTATCTGCGCCAGCTTGGTGCACTGGACGAGACCGGACGAGATGCCTATGTTTTCATGCCGAACTACATGCTGGGCCCTTCTAACTGTGACGGCACCACGAGCTTCTACGACCTCTGCTGCCCCAACTCTTGTGAGGCTTACAAGGGAAAGCTGGAGCAAGCACTCATGTCTGCAGCTGATCACGTCGATGCGGTCCTCCGCACCATTGAAGATCATTCTGGCAGCAAGCTCCAAGATGAACTTCTCACGAAGCTGAAAGCGATGGCCAAGGACCTTGCTCAAGAATGGAGCCCCCTCAAACCCGGCAAGGGACGCACAAAGAGGATGATAAGGTCTGAAAGAAAGGTGCTTGTCACTAGCTTCCACTAGCCCTCTTTGTGCAAGGAGCAAGGTGACCAAGTGCTCATCCACGGCCACGCCTTCGCCGACTGGCTGCACCAGGCCTTCCCCCGCGAGTGCCCGCGGCCACGGGCCGCGGACTTCCAAGGCAGGGCTGGGGCGATCCCCGACGCCAAGACCGAGTTTCAGGCTACCACCGCCTTGAAGGCCGACCTCTTCGAGTGGTAGAGCCTCCCTTGAACATGCACCGGGGGGACCCTACAAAGGCCCGTGGCTCAAAGCCACTGGGATGGCGGCCAAGTTGCTTCAAAAGACGAGCCGATGCTTCCGAGTGTCGGAGGGCCTGCTGTTTCGGGACTCTTTAAATGTTTCAAACGTAATACTTCGCATGTCGAGCACGTCCTAGTTGCCACGCATTGCCAGGACTCTTAACACAAGTGTTCCATCTGTTCGCGTTTTGCGACCGTCACAAAGTGGATGATGTACAATGTAGTTCGGATAGAATTCATGTGTTGCTAGGATGATGGCTGAATTGCAAGTGCACTAAGACATGCTTAGGCATAGGGATACATTTTGTTGGACATCATTCAATCTTCGTTCGAGCTTATCTATCACTCGAATAGCTGGCTGCTTAGATATGAGATGAAGAGTCTAAGTCAGCATAAAGAATGTATGAAACTGAGGATTGATGCAAATCCGCGCATCAAGAATGTGAATGTGAATCTGGATGTATGGTAGTTTAGCTAAAGAATTGTGTGTTGACATCATGTGGTGTTCACATTTTCTTACTTATTCCAAGTAGTTCTTTTTTTATTTATGGAAACAGAATCCTCATCGTGGCTCTTAACAATGTATGCATTTCTCTGCACCGCTGCTCAACTACATTTAATTTCTATGGACATTTGCCTAGCCTCTGTGCCCGAAACCCAAGACACTGCCGCCTTGCTCGCCCACTTTCAGCCTTGGAGATTCTTGTGTCTACACTCCTTTGATGAATCAAGGGTGCGGCTTCTGGTAGCGTGTCTGTATAGAGTCTGTAGACGCGGTGTTCGTGACCGCAGAACTGGCATGAACTGGCATAACTGGTGTCCAGCTTTCTAACAGAGTGTACAAAAAGAGGTGGGGTGCCATGGAAGCTGTTCCCATCCTGGCTCCACGCCCCTGCGCCCCGACACCTTGCAGGCCTGTGCTTGCTCCAAGCTTCAGAACGTGGAGCCCATGGCTTTGTAGGGCCCATTACTGGCTCTCCTGGGCGAGGCTTGGAAGGCGCAATGGATGGAGACCTGTTCCCGATCGGCTGGTGCCAGACACAGCATGGCTATATTGGACAGGTGCGGACAGCACAGGAAAGCCAGCATCGGGCAATACTAGGGGGCACATCCATGCAAGCTTCGACTTTTCTCTTCAGCTCGTTTGCTCGAGTAGTCTTGCCGTGCAACTAGCTTAACTAGCTTTTGCTTCCTCGGGACCGTACATGGATGTTTAGATCCGATCTGGGCCATGGCGGAATGCTGGACATGCCAATGGATGCCTCGCCCCTGCATGATGGGCAATGGCAGTGCGAACAGTGCACGCTTGTGAATGAGGCAGATGCCTTGGAATGTGCTGCTTGCGGAGCAGAGCGTTCTGCAAATTCAGGTAACATGCTCCCGCCGGGTGGAAGTTTCGGAGACATAGCCTCTGGAAGGGACCTGGCCATGGGCTCACCGCATGGCTTCCTTCCGCCCACAGCGACAGCCACGGACGAGTCTCCCATCCTACCACCTCATGGGACGCAGAACTTTGGCTCCCGGAATCTGCCACCTCAGGGCACCCTAAGCCCCAACGCCATGGCTGACCTGATGCCTACCCCACCGTCACAGCAAGGCTACCTCGGTGGCACTCCGCAAAACTTTGGCTTAGGAGACCTGCCCATGGGCGACGACCGGGACATGAAAAAGAAGAAAAAGAAAAAGAAAGATCTAAACCAGGAAGAGGATCTCAGTAGAACCAGAGAGGCGCAGACAGCCTCACCATTGCGACAACGGGACTTGCTTCAGCTCCCACAAGAGAAGAGGAGGCAGCGTTCCCAGGAGGACCCGGATGACTCAAACATTCCAACGTATGGCCCGGCCGTAATGCACCCGAGCGGTGCTCTGGCAGGCAGTTTGGAGGGAAGCAAGCTCTTGCTGAGAATCCTGCGCGCCTACAACCTTCGAAACACTGACTTGGGAATCTTGCCCGAAGACGCCTCGGATCCCTTTGCGGTTGCGAGGATAGGGCCAAAGGACTTCAAGACCCATGTCGTCGAGAACAGCCAGCAGGCTGCACCGAGCAAGACACAACTCTTTAGGCGCTTTCTGAATTGAGTCCTCTTTCTCTCTCTCTCTGCACCTTGGGGCTGGCTCTTTGTGTTTGTTTCATCTACTGAGGTCTTAATCCTATATGGAATTCACAACAATTCGAGTTTACCTTGCAAGATGAGCCGGATCCGAAGCTTCAGCTGGAGGTGCAGCCTTCAGAATGTTCATTCAGGCTGAGTGTGTGGAGAAGTAAGGGGAGATGCGCCGTTCCCGCCGGACGTGCCAGGTCTTCAGCTCCAATCACTGGCATGCGAACGATAGCCTGGGTCGTCTGGACATTCCAATACGGAGTTTGACGCCCGGCGAGACACACACGGCGCCTTGAAGGCATGAGGATTGCCATGTTGCAAGTTCGACAATGGCTTGCTCCCAGGTTGAGGAAATGCTGGACGAAGGCGACATCGTACGAGAGGAGCGCGCCGTAGCAGTAGCGCACATGTGTACGGCTTGCTGCCCAGCAGAAGAGATCAAGTCAGGATCGCAAGCGTCCCCGTATTCAAGTGGAAGTGCAGCTGCTCTGTGCCGATCAGTCTCTTGGCGTCAGGGGGGTAATTGGGTGCCGGGGGGGGGGGGGTCTGTCGCATCAACGGCACAGCTCTCCATTGTCGGAGACACATGCGTTGCAGGCTGGCAAATCCACAGTCCATGAGGCCTGGCTCATGTCAAGATGCTCTGCCATTGTGGTTCCAAGATATGTACCTACACCTTGAGCTTCCAAGAGCCGACAATTTTCTTGGCAACCCGCAGGCTACAAAAGCAATTTCAGCACAACCTGGCTTTGCAAGAAAGCCGCAAGAAGAAGGAAAACATGGCTCCTCGGGCTCAGGTTCAGACATGCTCAGACTAAGCAGCGAGGGATCAGTTCTATCTTTTCTTGATGACTCGGCTCCATCAATCTCGGATCATGAACCAGGTGCCGCTGCCATCCTTCAAAGGCGAAGTGGCGGGGTTGTAGTCCTTGGAGAAGCACGTGGCACGCCAAAAAAGAGGTAGAGGCAGTTCCTGGGTTACGGAAGAGATGGTCAGCGATGCCTTGGTGCAGGTTTCGGGCCGGAAGCTTTGGCGCGGCCAGATCACCAGTACAAGGTAGCCGAAGTTGGTGAGGCAAGGCACGAGTGAGAGTCTGCTGACCACGTTCGTATATGTTCGCATGAGGTGCCGCCGTTCAGGAGTCCGGAACGCAATGACTCGAACAAACGAGTGTAGCAGAAGATGCAAGCATCTTTGGACTCTGGAGTTGGGGAGGGTTGCAGTGACTGCTGTACTATGAAGGTTAGTTACGGTTAGTTACACAGATCATTCCGGGAACCCGGCTCGCGATACCGCAAATGACTACCTCCACGGTAGACTCTTCATTGTATTGCAAGCGGTACTTCGACACCATGTTCGAAGCACTTCTATGGCATCGCAATTCGGACCCACTTAATTACTCGCGGAAGCTAGTACCTCCAATCAGCAAGGCATGTGCTCGCGAAAGTGTCCGCGGAAACAGAACTCGCGCAAAAGTCAGGCGTTTGATATGTCAAGCCGTGGCTTTGGGATATGCCGTCAAAGCTTGTCTCATCATCATATTAGCCAGCACAATTGCTTGAATGCAGGCACGCCGCCTCAATGAATATGAGTCTCTAGAAGCTCGCCATGCATGGTGAGTGGTGCCATCAGCCGCACTTCCGAGCTATGACTTGACAATGATTGGGTTCAGCAGCCAAGGCATGTCGATTGGGTCAATACGATCCTCGGCAAGAACCCAGAGAGACCCGCATGTTTGACAGCAGCGCGGTCATTTATTTGCTCCCGACATGTGTATGGGAATCTGCATGTCGCTGCTGAGGATTACTCAGGGCCGCCGCCCTACTTTCCACGACAGCAGATGATTGACAAGCGACAATGGAAAGATGACCCTTTCTTCGGCTGGCGCAGGGAGCTGAACCGCACCGAGCACAAGTCCATGGGGAGGGAAGGGGACCAAGGGGAGGAGCTTGAGGGGGGCGAGGCTTGGAAGGGTGACCCTTTCCACGCCTGGCGCAGTCGTGGGCCTCAGGAGGGCAACATCGAGCAGCTCCAGGAGGCCCGCGCGGCGCGCAACTTGATGTCACTCCCCTCCTTCTCGGAGGTACCGGCCCGGCGCTTCAATGACCACCGAGAATACAGCGACCACGTTGCCAGGCCACAGCCGCAACTGGCTGCAGGCCGGGCAACAAACGATGCGCCGGAACAACGCTGGAAAGACGACGCCTTCTACGGTTGGCTGCCGGGCCGTGGTCCTCTTGAGGAGGAGCAGCACCGCTTGCGGCGACCTCTCGAGCAAGCTCGTCTTGCCCGACTCCCCTCCTTTGCAGAGGGCTCTCCCGAGCTTGCCGGGGTCACCGGACGAGGTGTTGGCATCCTCACACTTTGGATCAATGCAGCCAGCAACCTGGCCTATAGCCACGGAAGTGGCTTGTACGGGACACCCAGCCCATGCGTCAAGGTCTCTATCCAGGGAGACCACCGCGTGCGAGCCCACGTTCGGCAGGAAAAGTTGACGCCAACCATTGCCAGAAACCGCAATCCTCAATGGAACACTCCGGCAATGACCCTGGAGGTGCATTCCGTTGCCGATGTCCTGCAGCTGGAGGTGCTGGACCTTGCCAATCCTAGAGTGGATGAGCACATCCATCACTACTTCCTGGGCCGCGCTCAGCTTCCCATTCAGCGCGTCATTGCAGCCGTCCACAGATCCAAGAATCCTACTCGGCCGCCCGGGTCTCAGCGCCGTGGCAGCTGCAGAGCGTGTTTCTGCGTGTCCTTGGTTTGACGTGTAGAATCTGTGCTGCCCGGCTAAGGCTACAACTGCGCGAAGGCTTGGAAGGTTCACAAGCACAGGCCCAGATCGACTTCGAGTGCTTGTACGAGGCCTATGACACGGAAGCCTCGCCGGCAAGCCAAACCCTGAGCCCCGCAAGGGACCCAAGGGACCAACGGGACCGGTTCCAGTCGCAGCTTTCGGCCAGTCCCCAGAGCTCGCCTGGGAAGCGGCAGACATCGGACATGGGAAGCCTTGGCATCCTCTCGGTTCGCATCATTGCTGCGTACAACCTAGTTAACGCAGACACTGGCATTCTGGGCGACGTCTCTGATCCGTATGTAACCGTACGACTGGAGAGCCAGAGCGACAAACAACGAAAGCGAACTCACACCATCAACAATGACTTGAACCCCAAGTGGAACTCGTCCCCCTTCCTGTTTCCGATCCAGCATCAGGGCTGCAGCCATGTCAGCTGAGTCGTCACGTAACGTCGCTTGTATCGGATGTGTCCTGCACGTGTGGTACATGACGAGGGTGAATCTTTGCGTCAGGCATCCCGAGGATCAGCTGGTACTGGAGGTCTACGATGAGGACATGATGGGGTCTGACGATTTCCTGGGCCGCATGAAGATCCCACTGTATCGCATCGTCCACGGCCGCGCAAATCAGCCAGTCCGAATCCGAGACCAGCTGCAGGACAGGGCATCCAAACTCTGTCGGCTTTGATGTGAAATATTGCTTAAGCAAGTACATTTGAGATGAAACTGTGGTGAAGCCATTGCTCACACACTTTCGCCAGATGTATCTCTCTCTTTGGCAGCTGCTGAGGACATCGAGACCGGTGAGCTGGAGTTGGAGGTAGGATTCTCTCCTGGATAGCTGGAGGTGAGCCAAATCCTGGCTCCCACGTGCTAACGCGCATTCTTCTCATGCCATAGTTTCCTGTTGGTACAAAGAAGTTACTCTGGAACATAAGAAAATCTCGCCTGAGAAGCTGCTGAACATGGACCAAACCCTAGGAAGCAAAATGGCACATGTCCGCACGGTGACGCGGGCTGCGAGTTAATGACGAGGAGCGAACAAAGTGCGACCAAGTGCACAGGTTGCCGCGCTTCGGGTCTAACATTACTAACATTGAACGACTCGTCGACGTAGCTTGTGACTCCTGCTGGATATTTCGAGGTGCTGGGTGGTTTCCCTGCCCTTGTTCTGGGTGCCGCCAGATTTGCTGCAGCAGCGGCCTGTGCCCCAGAGAAAAAGTCCGAATTCCCGCCAAGCAAGAGACGCAACAAGCTCTACGTCCCAGGGGTCCCCACCTTTACGATCCAGGCGCCCCGATGCGTCAACTTGTCTGCGTGTACATCGCACGCCAAAGGCACTGTCTGGCAGGATCAGCTGCCGTGCCTACAAGGTGACAGTGCACGTCGCCGTCGCCTCAATCGGCCATTCGGCAGTTTGCAGTGGTTGCCAGCGTTCGGGTGGTATTCTTATTGTATCACATGACTTCGATGTAGCCGCAGGTCGCCAGGAAGCTTTCTTATCTAATGAGACTTATGAGTGGATGCTACAAGTACATGGCCAGAAGGCCAGGCGTCCATCTATTTTGTTGTGTGTGCGTGTGTGTGACGAAGGTGGGCAAGTCGCTGTCTCAAGCGTGCAGCTTGCAGTATTTGCCAAATGCATTGAGGATCCAGTATGAAGAATAGGCCGCTTATGCTGTTTGATGCTGCTTTGAGGCCGGTTTCGGGAGGCCTCGACACCAGTTCCTCGGATGCTCTCTATTTGCATGGCATCAACCTGCATTGCAGGTTGGGAAGGAAAAGCGGTCGAAGAATATGCCGTCCACTCAGTACTCAGTTCCTCGGCTTCGCATGGCTTTGCAAAGCCCGGCTTCGAGACACTCTCATGACTCTCATGCCGTCTGCTTCGGAGTTGAGCATTCAGGGGCTCAGAAGCCCACATGAGCCCACGTTGAAGCCCAAATCTGCAGCTCACTGCATCCTGACAGCATCTTCGTTCCACATCCCCCTGTACTTGCACATTGTTTCCGCGGGTGCTGTCGAGACCAGTTGCATCTCCACAGCAAGCCTTGCAACTCTCCAAACCACCAACGCTGCGGCAGACGAAACGCCCTCTCAAGGTCCAGCGCCTTCGTGGCAGAGATCCGGCCATCGAGGCCCGCAGACCACAATGTTCATAATGTTCCACTGTTCCACAAATTCTCAGGATGTAGCGGTTGTTGTGTTGTGATGTCGAGGCTATGGGGAAGTTAGGGACTGGGAGGCTTCAGCCAACCAAGATGCCAAAGATTCTCTTGGTGTAGAGGTTTTGGGGCCTTACAGGGGTTCCACATTCACAAGGGTTCATCGTTTGGCCAAGCAGTCGGGCACAGCGAAGCCGTGGCTGCCACAGCAGCTGTCGCAACTGTTGTCCCTTGTCGTCCGAAGGAAGCTCGGGGCATGTAATCTTGGGTCACCAGTGGCTGCAACCCTCTCCTCTTTGATTGAAGTTGCTTTGGTTGGGGGCGGGGGGGGGGGGGGGGGGGGGGTTGTCTTTCTTAGTTCGGGGGGATGGTTCAGGACTTAAACTTAAACTTAATAAAGCAGGTGTGTTCTCACAGTCCCCGACATGTCACTTTCCGAGAGCAGACATGTCCAGACCGATTTCTTCCCACCTTCCGATGTCAGTCTCAGACGAGATCACATAACAATAGCAATAGTTAGCAATAGTAACTAAACCACATCATTCTGCAGCAACTGCGAGCCAAGATGCAGGTTGAAACCATCTTCCACAAAGCCGACGCTCAGCTTCTGAGGGCCTTGCAAAAGTTGCGCCACCCGATCCTGGCCAGCGCCCGGGAAAGCTGCGAAAGTCTGCGGGGTCTTGAAGGCATCAGATAGATGTCGGATGTGCTACAAGGTCCTGGATGAGAAGGGCGCCCTTCTTGACTCTGAGGACGCTGCAGCACACATGGCAAACGACATGAGCACCGAATGAGTGAGCGGCGCGGAAGTCAGTATGGAGGAGTTTGCTCGACTTCTATTTGCCCGGCTCGAGGCTTGCAGCTCGTAGCCTTGTGCTGCGGGAGCTGCAAACAGTTGATATGCCTGATTTACTTTGCACTCGTGCTTATGAGTCACATGTGCTCATCATGTCGCATCTCAGGCAGGCAGCGCGCGCCTGTCCTTCTGCATCGGGGCTGCTGATGGCTTGCGTGCGGCTCAGCCAGCTTTCTGCGAGCGCCGAGATTGAGGTGGGACAGGTGGGCCAGGTGGGCTATGGTGATACCTGCTGTTGTGGAGGCGAAATTCCGAAATGCTCCTACTGAGGGCTGAGCTGGTGCATGGAGCTCCCTAATTACATAGTTTTCCTGCAAACACTGACAGCTGTGAAGCACAGCTTCCGAGAATGGTATGTCAAGAAGCCGGTCCCAAGGCCGCCAGAACTTCGCCGAGCACCCAAAGCACGTTGCGATGAGGAGGTGGCATCTTGCGTCTCTGCGATTTTTGACATCATCGCCTTCAGGTGACTTCACCTTATAAGGGGACGAGTTGGCGCGCACCCGCACGGTGTTCGCAAAGCGTTCGCGAATCGCATGGATCCTCGAGACAGATGCAGTCAAGTTGTAGTCTGCGAAGAGAAGCAGTGAAGCCTGTCTCGACATTGAGCTGGCTGTTGAGGAACCCGCACGTTGGGGGCACCAGGGTCTGTTGACGTTTGTATGGCCATGGATGGCGAAACCTCTACGACTCTACGACGTGCGCGCGTGCTTAGCTCTCCGAAGCATGTTTGAGACTCCCGCACGGCCTGGCATCCACGACCCTGTTGGTTTCCACAAGACCCGAGAAATGCCCCAGGAGATGTGAGCCGCCTTGAATCATCGTAGGCCCCACCTCGCGAGCTCCTCTCCTTGGGCCGGCTGACGCAGCTTGCCTGCAGTGAAGCTGCACAAGGAGTGCACAAGGTGGCGTTCATGCACATCCTTCTCCTGTTGAGGCTTTTTGGTTTCTCGTCCGGTTTTCCCTCTGCGGTGGGTTGTTTGGCATCATTTGGCATCCCCTTTCTGGAGTATGGTTTGAGCTCAGAGGCTTCTTGGGGTTGAAGGCTTTCAAGGCCGCAGAAACTCCGACTGGAAAGAGGCCCGAGAGGCGCCGAAACACCTTGATTAGCCCACTCCCCAACTCTTCAGGTCAGGATGCTAAATGGCCATCCTGCATGAGCAGATACTTGGTTAGACGCGTGTTTGTCCTGGTTGTTTCGTGTCTTTCCGCACGAAATCCACTGCTCTGCTCTGGTTTTTCTTGGGGTTGGAGGGCGTGGGGGAAGGGGGGGGTTGGTTACGTTTTGTGCCATTCACTCCGAGGCTCTGCTTTTCTTGGGTTCGGGCGGAGAGGGGGGGGGGCGCGGGGGGGGGCGGTGATTACGTCTTGTGCCACGCACTCCTGCCATTCACTCTGACCATCTTCCACAGCAATTATTGTTTGCGTCGGGCGCATGCTTCTTATGACCCAAAAGGTCGCAAAAGTCATCACTACACTCACCCAGCTCGCCAATCACACCTGAATGAAGATTAGGCAGTAACCCGCATGAACGTAGTGAAGCGAAGCGAATCATCAAATGCCCGTACATAATGGTGCAATATGGGGACGTTTGGCCGGTCACTTATTATTAACGGAATCTTGCGTGCCAATTGAGTATCGTTTTTACATGCATGATTCTTGTCTGTAAGATCCTGGCACTAAGAAGTGTGATGATTTTAACATGTACGCAACAGCCCTGTAAGTATGATAAACCATGTGGGTTTTGGTTATGTGCCGGTGGAAGCAGAGTTTTATATCATGAGTTCACGTGCAAAACAAGAAAACGAAGCGCACGAAGAAGAACTCGTAGGACAGAACAGCACCGAGCCTGACCAAGGTTGCCACACAGGCCGGGACATCCTTCAAAAAACCTCAGATCGGCTTTCGCAGTTGGGGTCTGCGTAGCTGGGCCCGTGAGCTCTCCACTCCACGAGCTGCACTTTGGGGCTGTTCTGCTGCAGGTTGGCCCGAGTAGTGCTTACGGAGCAAATCTATCGAGCGCAAGAAATAAGGCGGCGCTTGATGTTAGCCAATCGGCATGTGTTGGTTGATGTTAGGCTCTTCGTGGAAGATTTGCAGGAAGAATCCTGCAGGAAGAACCCCTGAACATGTCATTCAGGCGTGGTTCTCGCTACCATCGTGGTGATCCTGCCTGAAACCCTGGCGGACTTCAGGTGATCCACGCTCAGCTATGGGCTGTGGACTTGCATATTCGGCGGACCAGCGGTTGGTAGAAGAGCATTGCCCAAGACGTTTTGGGAGGGAACGTGGCCGTGGACAAGCCAGCGCAAGCACGCGCCTGCCTCTCAGAATGTCTCAGGTGCCACTGCAGTGGTCTGTTGAGTACCCATTTCTTCCCAGAAGGCGCTTAACAACTTCTAAGAATTCCAAGTGCTTCGTGCTTTTTCTCCTGCGGCATCTTGCGGCTGCTATTTCTCAGCGGTACCCAAATCCTGCTCTCCAAAAGCACGGGTGGGCCATGGCTCGTTTCGCCAGCGAGGCACATGGGATAATGGATCTAAGGGTTTCGGGTTGGGAAAATCCCATGCAGACTTGGCATGGCTTCCGTGTGTACCATGGTTGCAGGCAAAGATGTCCAGGAAGTCATGGGGCCTCACGCTTGCACTGGTTGCGGTTCTCAGCTTGGCGCCTGTCCAAGCGGGGCTGTGACCGTGTCTCCAGCCCTCTGTTGTTGTGCAAGCCTCGGCCACTGAGGGTCCTACATCCTTCATCGGGCCAAAAAACAACCAAGGCTTCGGGGTTGGGATCACATGCGATCACATGGCTTCGCTGCAGTGTCCTGGCCATAGCCTGGGCCAGGCAAGCGCACAACACCAGGAATCGAAGCGATTGGGAAGGACCCTGCGGAGCTTAAGCTGCATTGCCTGAACAATGATGGGTGATTCTCCTTAGTGACCTCACTGACTTTAACTTCAGTGCCCTAAGGGGGCCTACCGTGACGTGCCAACCGGGCAGCCTGTAGAGCCAGCAGAGAAGCCGAAGGCCAGCAGCATTTTTCGCATACATGATAAGGAGACGTAATGAAGGATTCACATGACATATCGTGCCCCATTGAAGCTAAGCCAACCCACCCAACAATCGCCCTGCCACCAGTTCCCAAGCACTCGCTGCCAATGAGGCAGCGCAACGAGAGACTGGCAAGACGCAAAGTTGGGAACTTTGCTAGGCGACTGACTCCAACACCGGTGCTGAGACCCTTATTTGAATTCTCACTTCGGAAATCCGCACCCTGTCCTTCAACTTTAAAGGATTTGGGTGACCGCCTGAAAGATGATCCCTCATCTTCCCCTTCCCTTCACCCAGAACCTCCTTTCATGACCCATCACCTTTCAGCCCCTTCCCTTCCACCCAGACACCATCTCTCATCTTTCAGCCCCCTGCTGATTCAGACAACATTCCGGTCACCCGCCTGAGCCTCTGTTCTGGCAACACTTCCTCCTTTGGTTGAAAGCTCTCCTCCTGCTGTCCTGTTCACTTCACGTCGCATGAGTTGCCCCACTTTGCCATGAAAATCTAGAGAGCGTTTTTACTGAAAATCTAAGTACCCCACATGGGTGGGAAAACATGCCGCAGAAAGACGGCAAGGCGCTAAGTGCATCCAAGTGTCATGTGGCTCCGCATCACAACGAACAAGGACAGATGCCGTCTGCCATGAACAAAACACGCATCTCCGGCGAAGGATTGTCTGACCTAGGGGCCTGGAGCCAACAGGTTCAGAAGAGGGCTTGGCATCGAATGACAGTGCAGCAACGCGCGAGTGCAGTAGCAGGCCGCCTCACATCAGAAATCTGACACGCAGCTGCCACGTCCAGTGCCCTCAGGCCACGTCGCATGTAAGTTGCGCGTGCTGGGCCATGCTGGGCCATGAGATGCAGAAACAATCCCAAGCTGGCAGAAGCAGAAGAGCAGTTGTGTTGTAATTGTTAGTCGTCGTCATCACGAGCCATCACTACAACACACACACACACACACACACACACACACACACACCCCTTGCCTGGCTAGGCAGCAGTCATGGACATTGGTTGGACACTGGCATCCGTCGTGTTCTGGGCTGTCTTCATCCGTGCTATCGTCATCGAGGAGAGGTTTTCTTGCTCTACTTGTACAGTGTTCTGCTGGGGCTCAGCACTTTGCGCCTGCACTGTTCGCATGCAGGACCATTATCTCCCATATCAGGAGATGCGGGCATCACTCATGATGGAAGGCGTAGGTGGGTCGCAAGTCCACGTGTTTCCGACGGTCTTCGCCTGAGCCAATGCCACGCGAGTCATTCATCTTCTGACTCGCAGACATAAATCCCAGCCAAGGACTGATCGCACCGATTGCCTGTGGTGCAGATCGGTGGCTGCCTGTCGCCGTCGCCTGATCCAGCATCATCATGCTAGCGCGTGTTTTTATTAAGAGAGCGTTCAGGAGGATCCCGCTGTTGAGATTTTTTGAAGTTCGCAAGCAGCGGGATAGCAGGGTTTGTGTACAAATCTACTTTCCGGCCAGCAACGTCGGCTGGCCAGCGCATGAATGCCGGCAGGGCACTTGGGCTTTCCCATGTGAGACAATGCAGAGTAAATACTAGTTAACACATAGAAGCCAAGCCAGCCACGCACTGCATTTTTGCAGCTATAGATCTTGTATGCAGCGCCGAGCGCCGAGCAGCGCTCGAAAGCTGGCCATCGTTAGCCAGCACGAATTCAGTGCAGCCACCGTTCCATATGTCGTCGCAAGAGAGCTTGTGAGAGCTCAGTGGCGAGAGGCTGTCGGAGCAATGTTGCGGCTGTCCGCACAGTGCCCCGGAAAATCCCAAGCAGTACTGCAGAGAGCTGTCCACCATCTCGTTTGCCGTGCGTTTCGCTCGATTCGCGTTGGAACGCCTGGCCAAGCCGAGGATGGCGGAGACTTCGTCGGCGCCGCAGGGCTCGAAGATCCTTGACAGCAAGAGCCTCAGGTAACGAGGTCCAAATGGATCCAATGGTTCTGTTGGGTTTCGCCAGGACCAGGCCCCAATGTCTAAAGCGCAGGGCCGAGTCTGTACAGAGTGTACAGATGTCGTTTTGTGCATGTCCGACCTTCGGCCGCACTTGCGACAGTCCTGTGGCAAAATCTGTTGGCCGCGTCTCGCATGACAGAGTGGTGGCGCCATGCCCAATCGCACATGCGCGTCGCAGACTACAGGCTGACGGAACCAAGCAGTCTCGGTTCAATGTAGATGCAAAGCTCGAGGGTCGAGGCGGTCCCGTCACTTCGCCCTCGCCCCTGTCGCAGTGACATGTCTGGGCCTTGGTCGCCATTTGTGCAGTCGTTCAGGCAGTGTCCGCAGCAGCCAGCTGGCTGCAAAGGGGTTTTCGGATAAGCTCCATACATGACAGTGACATGTGAGTCTGCCCAGGTGAGCGAAGATGATTGCCAAAGCTGCATTGATCTGGTTCCTGTCTGCGACAGAAGGCCTGCTTATCACGTTCATCATGTGCGACTTGAGAGCTGCAGTCCTGCTAGGTTACGCAGTTGGCACCAAGTTCCTCCAGAAGAAGCGAGGCCGGGCTGCTAGAAATAACTTGAAACCGCCACAATCAGACTGCTTTTCACCCACCTTGCAGGTCTTCCTGTCGAGCCCTTTGGCCACAGGCACGGGGCTCGTGCATCATGAAAAGCACGGAGTCGTATGCGGAGGCAGTTCACAGACCGGCCAGCTGGCAGACCACAGCGTCGCACGAGATCATTCACAGGTTGTGCAACACAAGAACCCCAAAATTTGCCCTAGAACTTGTTTCCGCCCCGCCGGTCTGCCCACCCGCAGGTCTGTCCTTCAACCTCCTTGCCCGTGTGTTGCCATGCAGTGCAAAAAAACCCTTCAGGCACCAAAAGCCTTAAGCCCTAAGCCTCCCTCCTCCCCAAGGTCGGAGCAAACTACCAAGCCACTCTTCCAAGTGCTCGACCTCAAGATCCTCGGCAAAAGGTCTTGGGAAGTGTTTTCGGCTTGGGGCTGGGAGGGCGGCGGGCAGCTCCATACCATGCAACTCTTAGAGTCCCATAGTGTCCCGCTTTCCCTGGACTCGGCTCATACCTGAGCTTGAGATCTCCAAGGTGGTGGGGGGTGTTGTTTAGGGTTTAGGGTTTGCTTTCAGGTGTTGCCGGCAGCCTCCTCAGTCGCTTAAAACGGGTTTAGGGCTTAGGGTTCAGACCTCCCCGCAAGGAAGCCGACTGTGGTCGAAGGTGGCTTGGCTGAACGAGCCTGCGACGCGCGGTTTGGTATTTTTTCCAGGCCAAGTCGCCCTCAACAGTCATCCTTGCCATTCCTTGCTAGCCCTTGCTATTCCCGTCAACATGCAGATAATGTGTGCATTGGCTAGGCAAGCGATGGAGGCAACAAATTTAAAAGATGAAACGAGGAACATGAGAGACCTGGTGCCACACCGCCGAACCACCCACACTTGCCGAGGCCAGTGCCTGTGCCCTACAGGCCGGGCCACGGACTTTCCTGGAATGCAACAGGGTGCAGCCCCCCTTTGCACTTTGGCCAGGTCAGTTCTGGAACATTAAAGAGGGCTTGTGTTTCAAAAAGTACGGCCCAGTCCTCGTCATTGGTGCTGAACTACCGCCATGTCAATACTACCTTGACATTGATGCATTTTCAGGTGCCGGCATCGGGTGCGAAGCATTCCCCCCGGAGTATCAAAAGCACATCTGCCAGGACGACTCTTGCACATCTGCTCGAACTAGCCTTCATGGACTGCTTATGTGTGTTAACTACGGTTCCAAATGGTAGGAAAACACTGGCAGGATTCACAATGGGTTCACAGTGGAAAATTCCCATTTGAAGAGGGGAGCATGAGCCCGCCAGGATGGTTTGCAGTGCAGGGCAGAGAATGGCTCCAATGCCTCCTGTGTGGCCTGCGCGCACGCGACGGCCTTATCTTACAGTGTCTTACGGAGTCTTACCGTCTGTTCTGGAGCCAATCAGAAGTGGCAACAGGAAAGGAAGAGAGAGAAGCGCAGTGGCTTGACACGAATCTAGAATCTAGAACCAACCGAGGAATGCAGCAGCAGTCCGCTTCCTTGTCTCAAGGACACAGCGGGGGAAATGGCAAGGGCTGCTCCGGAACACAACTGCTTTGAGACGACTTAAAAAGCCGACGTGCGACGAAGGAGGCCAAATTGCAGGGGAAAGCGTGTGCCAGCATCCAGGCTTGGACATCTTATCTGGCAGAAAACGGACTACCAACCAGTATACAGTATACCACATGCAGAGCGCTCAGGCGAGTCTTCCGCTAAACGCGGGAGTCTTGGCCAGATACTGCTCTCCAGCACTTTTGCGCACTTTATGTGCTTGGCACGCACTCTTTCTGAACTCCCTGCTCGGAGGCATCTCGGACAGGAAGCTTTCTGAAGGCCTGGCATGCTGTGGCCCTTGCAGCGTTCTGAGATGTTCTGCGCCTCCTCCGATCAATGTACCCATGTATGGATGGCCGTTCTGACAAGTCAAGCTATGTGTGGCAGTGCCATCCGACAGCACACTGACAGACCCCTCCGCTAAGTTGGCAGACTAGCTCCAGCTTTCGCAAGCATGAACCATTAGCAGATGCAGTAGGGCTTCCGGCGCCATGGAGCCCGACCAATCCGCTCCTTCGGGGGCTCTGGCAAAAAGCGACCCTTCTGAGTTGTAAAGTTTGGAAGGATGACTGCTTGGCACGGTAGACGTGCCCGTGCTTTGTGCCGGCCCAAGGCAAGATCGAAAAGCCAAAGAAGGCAGACTTTCGACAGCGTGCTCATTGCAACCCCCTATGCGATGCTCGGTTTTCAGAGAAAGACTTTGTTAACGTTTGAATGAACTTTGGACAAGATCAACTTGCCACCTTGGCTCAAACATCCCACAGCTCCTGTGCCCCATGCTGCCTAGATTCCGTGTTCGAATGTCTTCGAACATAATCCAACGAAGGATTGGGGAGATAACTATCCAGTGCCGCACTTAGAGGAATGCCGTGAGAAGCAGGGCCATCTGAACTTCATGGAAAAGTGTTGCCGGGTGAGGATACTTGAGGGCGAGTCGACTGAGTGGACAAGCAGCATCATGTAAAGGTTTGTTATCTCACCAAAGGCGGCACGGGGTGTGCCGCTGGGTTCAGCTTGCAGTCCAAGCCTGTCCGTGAAGCATCGAGATGCTATAGGACTAAGTGCTGCAACCATCGCTTTTCTTTTTGAGGTGCTCGCCCCCTGCCATATTGCACGGTCCGATTCTGGCGCTAAGGCGTCTCCGGATCATGTGGATTGGTCGGCACACTTCCCGTTCTTCTTCGAGTGTCCGCAAGATAGGCTGCAGCTCAACACTGCAGAGAACCCTATCGAGTGCTTCGGCTTTGACCCCATGCCTTACAGTCAGCTTGCAGTTGTGGCGAAAGTAAATTAAATTCCTTTGTCGATCCGTTGGTCCATCGTGGTCCGGCATGTCTGGCGGACTCTTCACCTATCTTGCATGTAGAGTTGTTGCAAGTCTTTTGCTGCTTCACCCAATTCGTCTTCAAAGCACTTACTTTCTTTGTCCTGATATAGGCAAGGTCGTTTCACGGGTCCGTGCTCACGAGGGACGGTACTCACAGGACAGCCTGGGACATGGCGTCCCGCACTGTGACTTTCGCAAGCTCGATCGCACGTTTGTTTGTGTGCGTGTGTTTGCAAGTGTAAGTGTAGGCATGTATCTTAAACAAAACTGCCTCTATGTGACACGAAAGTGGCTCACAAAGAGCTGCCGTCTAAAAGAGGCAAGTGGCCCAAATGCTGTCAATGCTCTAGAAACGTTAGCTCGCTTTACAGGAAGCTGTCAGCTTTGCTTGCCTTAGTTCCTTCTACGAGGGGTCTTTGTGGTGCAGCATTTTGCATGGGTGGCTGTGAAACGCTTCCTGCATAGCTTGCGTCTGGTTCAGCTGCTCAGCTCGCTTGTTCCTGACGGAAAGGTATCCGGGAGTCGTACCAGATGAACGGAATGGCAAGGCGATCCCGTCTAGCAAGATTTCGGAGGCTTCGAACTCGGCTGTGTGCTTGAGGCTGGCCCTCACCAAGTCCGCTTCTTGGATGTTGGCTGCGGCTTCGGCGGCCTTCTCATGGCACTCAGCCCCAAATTTCCAGACAAGCAGCCTGGCGACATCTAGCAACAACTCGAGCAACAACCGCATGTGCGGCTGACAGCTTTCTCAATGTGTTTTGCATCAGATGGCCCTCTTTTTTTGGAGTCTCAGGCTCATGCTTGGAATGGAGATCCGTGAACAGGTCACCAACTATGTGGGGAAGCGTATCCAAGCAATGCGCCAGGGAGCCGAAGGAGAGCCCTCACACCACAACGTCTCAGCATCTTTCATCAACAAACTTGAGTTGCAGAAAACTGCAGAAGACTACACCGAGAGCCGTTTCGCTGCAACAAAAGCACTCCTTTTGGGAAGCCCAAGTCGAGGTAATACGCACCAACGCGATGAAATTCCTGCCGAATTACTTCCGGCACCTCGGTACAACATAAGCAGCTCGCCTTTCTCACCTGAACATGTGATGCGTCAAGGAAGGGCCAGCTGGAGAAGATGTTCTTCTGCTTCCCGGATCCACACTTCAAGCGCGCCTTGCTCGCAGCATGTTTCCTCCTCCCACGGTGCAATAGCCAATTGCATGTCAAGTGCATCCCAAGCAAGTGCACAGGAAAAAATGCTCGCCGGCGTATCATCAGTTACGGACTCCTGTCCGTGTATGCGTACGTGATGGCCCCTGGCGGCCTGCGCGCCTCTTATTGAAGGGATTCTGCTGCTCCCTGGGATGCTCACCAGAGACCCTGAGCCCTGAGCGAGGTTGTACCACGCCACCGACGTCAAAGATCTCCATGAATGGATGGATACAGCCTGTGAGGAGCATCCGTTGTTCAGACGCGCCAGCCGCTCAGGGCTTGGGACCCCACTTGAGTGGCTGACCCCTTTGTTCGCACATGCCGCGCCTGCTGTTCCAGCATGTTCAAGTAGAATCCCGACCTTTGTCCAAAATTAGCATCTTCTTGGCGAGGTACCTCCAGAAGAGCTGGAGGGCGACGCCTGCCTCGAGGCTGTGACCGCCGAGACGGAGGAAGCCAAGCGGGCCCTCACCTGAGTGGCCTCAGGGATGCCCAGAAAAGGCCAGCCAAGCGCTAAGCCGGGGGCATGAGCAAGCATGGGATGAGGTCAAAAACCTCGGCCGATTCGGTCATGACGTGTACTTCAGACGCTTAGTCAGCAAGTTTTTGTTTGTTGTGCTGGCCTTCGGCCATGCGGCTTGCACCGAGCTGGAATATAAGGCGTCTTCCGACGGGTCGGGCCGCTGAGTGACGGCGGATAGATTGTGGATGGGAGACAAAAACGTGCTTTTCACACGTCGCCATCTACTTCCTCGCACTGCTGACACATTGGGCGTTGAGCAGCTGCCGCATGATTGATCTGATTGCGCCAAGCTGTCTCCATGCCGGTTGCCCGCAGGCCTCCAACGAAGAGGCTCGAGCTACGGCCATGCGAGGTTTGCGAAACATCCCAATCTTTGCTTCATATCCTCCGAGCCATGGCCAAGCTTGCAAACTCAGCCCACGCTCTGAGATTTCTGGGTGCAGTGCTGCCTGTGACCTGTGCCCTTCGCGGCTCAGTACACCAGAATTCTGGAAGCTCACCGGAAGGTGGGTCTCTTTGCACCCACTTGGCTTAGTTGCGCAGAGACGTCAACAGCCCCAGAACCCTTAAACGATGCCCGGAACAGATTTGCAGGATTGATTGCTGGAACCTGCTTTAAGACCTGTGAGTCACGGATGTGGGTGGGGCTTGGTGGAATGCTAGAGAAAAGTGAAATTAGGCAGACTTAGCACTCAGAGTGACCCTTGGCTTATATGGGCTCTATAATATTGGTACTATGCAAACGATCAGTGTCTGAGCAAGAGTAGCAAACATCAGCCGCAGCCACGGACCTGCAGGTGATGTGCAGGGTTTGTCTCACAAGCGCCTGGTGACCGTCATTTATCCGGCAATGGCTGTCGCTGCCCTTTTGTTCCTCGCTTTGATTACTACTGCCTTGCGAAGCTCTGAAGAGCAGACGGGGGCTCGGAAGACAGGGCGAACGTCGTTGAAGGAAACCCGGCGAATCATGAGTTGCTACAGTATGGACCCGTCGCTGCGCTTCTGAATTGCACTGAACGCCTGACATCTGACAGGACAACAAGCTGATGCAACGGGCGGGCGCATCTGATGCCGTTCAGGAGCTCCATCCGGAAACCACTTTCATTGATGATTTCCAGGTTGCCCGCGCCTCATCCAAGGTTCGCCATCAAGAAATTAGGGTTGAGGAAGAGCGCATACCTGGCATACCTGGGCTCGAATCTTCTGAGGCCTTCACCTGGAAGCGGATGGGCGCCTTCACCTTCGCAATCTTCCTGGGATTGGCGGTGGCACTCTTTGCGGACACCCATCTCTTCGCCATCAAGAGGAGCCTGGTCTTCTGAGAATCACTCTCTCTCTCTCTCTCTCTTTCTCTCTCTCTTTCTCTCTCTACTTCCCGGTGCAAGGCAGGTACCATCAGATACCATTAGGAGGGACACTTTGCACAGCTGATCCGAGTGTGAGAGTCGAAGAGTTTAACTCCCCGAGCCTTGCCTACCGCCTGAAACTGAGAGACCTCCACCCGACGTATCAACCAAGGAACGTCTCAGGCCTTGCATCAGCGGAGGCTTGCCGAACCGTGTGCCGGGCAAGCCCACAAGGGAGACTTTGCAGAGCTTATAAGCTTTGTAAGTTGTTTGGGTTGTTCATGTACCAGCTGCGAGGTTCGGCTGAAGTCTGGTCTAAAGCTTAGTCTTGCGGACTCGGGGGTTCGGGTCCGGCCCTTGCGGTGATGGGTTCGCCGCTACTGACACAAGGGTAAGATTTGATGTGACGCGGAGGGGCCTTTAGCAGCCTCTATAGCAGCCTCTGGCAGCGTGGGCTTGGACATGCCGAGCTTCCGAGGCTGTGTGATGACGCCCACCTCAGCTTTCAGAAGAAGTTTTGCACCACCACGGGGGAGAGATGCTCCAACTCCGCAAATGGGTCACAACCAATGAGCCGAGCGGGGGCACAGCACATGACCTGATAAGTCAAGGCTCCAGCACCTCACAGACTGGGAGCGCGACAGAGTTCGCTCTGCCCCTGGATCTTGTGAAAACGTTCACATCATGTGCGTCCTGTGGGATTGGTGTGGAGCGTACTGTCTGTAAGGCCAGTTGCTCTTTCAGTGAAATTCCAGAGGCAGGCACCATTTGTTGCGCATGTTGCTGACAAAGCCCATCAAAGACATTCCAGTATCCAAGTGGTCAGGCATGGAAGGTGGACTTTGTGCTGATTTCGGCTGTGATGGGCATATATCTTATCGTGGAGGGCGTCTCCGCCGAGCTCATTCTATTTGGACTCAGCTGCATCTATGGCTTTCTCGGAATCATCACAGGGGAGGAGGACGGTTCCTAGACACATGGGCCAAGTTTGCGTGCCCAACCCTAAACCCTGAACCCTAAACCCTAAACCCTGGGTGATCCCAGAGAGGGTTTGCTAGGCGGGGCAAAAAAAACCTACACCCGCGAGCTTGCAGGCATGGGCTGGCATTGCAAGCGGCAGCGTCATTGGGCTAGCCCTCCTTTTTCCCATCGCCTCCGCGATTGAGGAGACAGGCCGGATGAGATGACGGAATAACTTCGAGAGACCTTGGTGCTCAAGCCCCTTGCATCGTCCCAGGTGTCCTGGACACAGCTATCGGCATGATGCTGGGAAGCCCACAGTCCTTTTACGTGGTCTTTCCCTCAGCGGCTTGCGCAGTCTGATGCCTGGGCTTTCCACCACACGCAACCTCATACCATGAATGGCTACGTCCTCTTCTCCCCATTTTGAGAAGTGCACGCAAGGCATTCTTCCGCATGTTGGTCCCTGTTGCCTTCTTGTCTGCCACGACCCCAGTTTCAGTGCTCACCCTGGGCTTGGTCAGACAGCCGTGAAACTTGTACCCTAAACCCGAAACCCTAAACCTAAACCCTAAACCCGAGGCCTTCTTGAGCAACACAGCCATCGTCACGATGATGATTCCCTTGATCGTATCGTGGTCTCGGACCCTGGGGGTCCATCCTGGCAAGCTGCTGATGCCGCTGTCCTTTGCGGTGCCACGCCGCATCTAACAGCTCAGGCTTTTCTCCGTGACAAATTAGTGGCCAACTGTTCCCTTCTACCGCCATACAGACCTTAGTCATGGACACACTTCCAAACATATTGTTGTTTGCTTTTTTGTTTTTTTGTTTTGGGGGGAGGGGGGGACAAATTGCGTGACAAATTGAGAGCCTTTTGCCTTTGTTGCTGCCCGTGTTTTGCTGCGTTCGGTGTCCTTGCTAGTTCTACTGCTACCGCACTGCTATCAAGGCGAAGGATGCTCCTTTCTAGCATGCTTGCCGCTGAAAGTGAACGCGCCCCCTATAGAACTCAGAGATTGCCTTGGGGAAACGTCTCTCAGGCCCAGCTCGGTGGATCCTGCACCCTTATCGGATCTTCGCACTGTCTTGTGGCCCGTGACAGCGTGGACAAGTCTCTGCCCTTTGATGCCATCTAGCGTTCAGGCTTGCGTGGAGTTTGGGTGGAGGGTTCGTCAAAGACGGCTGGCCAACAAGAGACAAGACGCGCCTTGCTAATCCCTGGTTAGTCTGGCACATGTGCGCACCTCTAGGGAAAGCTACTGGAAAGACAAGACTGGATACATAGTATGAATTGTTGGTAGTTCCAGCTGTGTAAGACCCGGAGCACATGGCTGTTGAGTTTGTACTGGCTAAGTGGCCCGAAGCATTGTCCAAGGTACACACTGACTTTTTTTGACTTGTCCTACGCCGGCACCATCCTGTCTCTCGCCACTTTTGGAGTCATGGCTTTATGCCTGCCCTTCCTGTCATCTTCGGCATCCCCTGTGCCCAGCGTATCCGCCGATGATGCTGATGCTGTGCAAGTGGAGAAGGAGAACCTGTACACCATCAGCTTTTTCATACGCCCGGGCGGGGGTTATGTGGGCATGGATCCAGAGTTGGCCAGTCTGCAACTGAAGCGGCTGCCTGGTGTGAAGGATATTCAAGCCTCCGGGGAATTCAGTGGTCAACTTGAGGAAAATGCCTGCCTCAGCTGCATCGTCGAAGACGAGGGAGTCGTCTCCCTCCGGCAGATGCGGGGCCTTCGAATGACAAATGAGGTTGCTCGGTGCCAGTAGTTCAATGAAGTGATTGCGGCTCCGGCGGATGAGATCATAAAACTCATCAACCTTCGATTGACCAACCACCAAGCCGTCCACAGCAGAGAAGCGCAGTCACGCCTGACTCAATCGCTGCCCTCGCCCCCATTGAACCCTGAAGAGTCGTGAAAGTCAAATAAACAAATCCGGAAAGGCCCAGCTTCGAGCTCTTGGCATGGAGCGGGAGAAGCGCCATCTCTACGACACTCATTTGGTATCATTTGGTTGTCTTTCCTGTCGGTGCAGTTAAGTTCAGGCTGGGTTCTCACTGGTGAGCCCACGTCGTCGACTTTGGATGTTTTTTCGATCTCGGGAAGTTCTTCGGCACTTGTTGCCGATGCTTTTTCTCGAGAGCTGAGGAAGCCATCCTCTCTAGCAATAGCCGCATTGCAGGTGCCCCTTTCGAGTTTGATGAAGCTTGGCTTGCAGCAGAATCTACATAGACAGGTCCTGGCATTCTGACTTCACACACTGCATGTTGCCCCTCCCACAGAGGCCATGAGGCATGCAATGGGTTGTTGCCCCATTGCCATCAAGGGCAAGGACGGGTTGCGCTGGAGTTGCTAATGTCGTGGGCCATGGAGCAGAGGGCCTTCTTGTTTCAGGAGGGCATGCCACAAGCTGGCGACATTCTGCTTCTGGAAGCAGACGAGAGATATGTTGGGGGCACACTTTGGGAAGAGGCACGGCGTATTCTGCTCTGTCGTCCAGGGTCGCACTTCTTAGAGCTTGCGACAGGAATTTTCTATCACCAAGATGGTGCCAAACTCCAGTCCCCGGCGAATTGGCGGGGTCCATGATCGAGTTCGTCGCCTGGCAACCTCCCGGCCTTTTGCATATCTTGGATATTCATCGCTACTACACCCTTGTAAGAAGTTCTGTCTTCTTCTCACGCCTTCATCCATATGGTTTACGATGTTTGTTCCCCGAACAGTTCTACTGTTGGGTTCTAAATTCATGTAAGGAATTGCCAGCATTCTGGCATTCTGGGTATTGCCGGGTTCCTGGGCGTCTTGTCTCCCTTTGTCTCCCTTCATGTGGGTGGCCTCTGGGTTCCTGGGTTCCTTGCCTCCCTTGTGTCTCCCTTTGTCTCGCTTCATGTAGCGCTGCCGGGTTCCTGAGCTGCTTGTCTTTCTTCATGTGGGGGACCGTTGCGGCGCGCTTCTGGGCCCTTCATGTGGCAGGCCTTTTGCAAGGTTCCTTAGCTTTGTCTCTCTTTGTGTCGCGTTGTCTCCCTTCACGCGGGTGGCCTTTGCCGCTTTCCTGGACTTCTTCTCTCCCTTTGGCTCCCTTCACGTGGGTGGAGCCACAAATTCTACCTTCTCCGGAATCAGTCTTGATTCGGAAAAGTTGTGCACACCAAAAAACTATGACTTCTTTTTCTCAGATCAGCAGTTATTGCTATTCTTCGTGTTTTGGTCAGTGGCTGCTATTCCATGAATTCCATGTGCAGGCCACGTCCAGGGGCCCTCGAACCCTTATCCCGACACACCGAAACATTCCCACACATCCCTTCTGCAAATTTCATCAAAGCTGAGGCTGCATCTTGGTGTGTTCGGGCATGGCAGTTCTCATCGTTTCGGTGACATTTGAGCTGGTGAGCCTTTCCATCGGAGCAGGGATGTTCGCACCTTGGGCTGAGTGACTGGTTAAGAAGTTTGGCTCAGAGGGGAAAACTCGGGTACAGAGACACTTTGTACCCTTAAAAGCATCCTGCAGACCTCTTAGAGACCATGAGTCCCGCTGCGCAGAAGCCACGTATCTTGATAGGTCCTCTTCCTGGTTCTGAGCAATGCCTACACCATGGACAGTGCCACCCTGCTGCAGTGTGAAGTGTGGGCGCGGAATTCGGTTTCACCCAGGGGCCAAAAGGCTGTCAGGGTTTCGGGCAACCAGCTCCCTTTGTTGCACCTGCCATGCAAAACGGCTCTCCGCAGCTTTAGTTTTGTTTGGCCTTAGGTGTACAAGACCATCAAAGTCCCGGTGCTACTGACTATTGCTGGTGCTGGCGGGCTGTCACTCGCTCTGCAGGCGACAGGCATCGCAAAGCCTCCAGCTGAATTAGAATTTTGCTTTTGGGGAGACATAGGGCCTGTCGCTGCGGAACACTGGGGCGATGTTGTGCATTGAGCTGCGTAGTCTTCTGCTGTACGGATGGTCGCGCCTGAATGAGCATGAGAGTTTCCTCAGTCAGTCAGTCAGGTTCGCAGCAACCAAGATGACACAGATTGCGATACCATTGGGAACGTTGGGAGTTCGGACGGCCGTTTACTTGCTGGCAACCTTCCTCTCGCTGTTTATGAACAACAGTGCAACTGTTGCACCTTGTTCTAACAGTAACGTGCCATGTGCTGGCAGTCGTGTGTTTCTGCAAAAGCAGGTAGAATGGAAGCCTGCAGGTGTACACAGTGATGGGGAGGTGGCAGAGCGCTTAGGCTTAAACTGATAGTTAGATACCAAGGCCATTATTGGCCCCATGCTGGCAACGATTGCTGACAGCACTTGCGCAGTGGGCGACACACAGTGCCAGGAGAACAGCGTCAAGGTTTCAAACAGTTGGGCACGCGTTTGTTTATGCTCATCTCCTGCAAAGAACATGCTCGGCAGCTGGAGGCCCTCACGCACGTCATGGTCTTCGCAGCAGGCACTTGTTTGATGTCTCCCCTGGGCTACCAGACCAATCTCATGGCCTCATGGCAGCTCACTTCTTGTGGTTGTGTGGCAATGGAATGCATTGCAGCAGTTAGAGTTTTGCTGACATGACCGGTAGACCGGAAGTCAGTGGCTGCAGATGGCTGAAGTCCATGGTAGTCCGTGGTCCCCACACCCCACACAGTTGTCATACCGGCTGCGAAGCCTGTACTGTAGTGAGACAAGATGGAGTTGTTGCCATGATCATGAAAACTTGTTTGGCCTTACTTCGCTCATTACAAGTACGGTTGGCATAAATGCGATTCTTCTTTTGTGTCGCGTAGCTGCATCATGAAGCCCATCAATACGTCTCGGCAAATAGGTTGGTTTGCGAAGCAACGAACTGCGAGACCGTAGGGCCGAAGAAGCATCGGATGCTCAGGTCATGCAGGACGGCGGGTATACGTTCGGCGATTTTACCAAATATGGCAGCCTCATCCAGGCCGGCGGCCAGGCTCCTGTCATGCTTCATGCGACTTTGTGAGCGATGCTAGCTTTCTTGCCAGGCCTTTCACATGGTAGCCTGCGTCGGAGTGGTCTTTCTCTTCGTGGACATTCTCAATCTCTAGAGAGGTCTGCGGAAGCCCTGCGCACTGCACGTTGTCACGAGCAGAATCAGAGAGGTGCGCGCAGCTGTCAAGATGGCAGCTGAACGCGCGAAAGCCCGAGAGCAGCAGTTTGCACGTTTGGAACGCACAGGCGTTGCTCCATAAAGCCATTTGGCTTTGAATTCGGCTAGAACCCCTGAAGGGTGGCCGTATCTTAGTGCAGAGCAGATGTAGCATCGGGCCGGGAAACGAAAAGTGCCGTCATGCATGGAGGGCAAAGCTCAGGACGATTGCGTGCACAATGCTGCGGGCGTTGTTAGGCTGAGCCTCTGTCAGGCAAGCCTCCGAAGAGTGCCAGATGAGGACAATTCTACCAATCGCCGCTCAGTCAAAAACTTTTGCGACTACATCACAACTGAAATTTTGGGCAGTTGACCTAGGATCAGAACAAGCTTCTACCACCGTACGAGGTGCGCCCCGAAACCTAATTCGGCGTAGGCTTTCTGCCCAGGAACGGCCACTTTTGCATCAGCTACCAGCCAGATCTGCCTGCCGAGCTCTTCCGTGAAGCCGAAGGCGCATGCCACCTCAAATCAAAGTACGCCTGAGGGTTACCTGAGTTACTTTGAAACTCTTTCAGAAGGGACCCCTCAGTCTCTGAACTTTGCGGGTCATTGCCATTCCAACGGCCAGGATGGCCGGTGGGACTACCGGTCCGCTGCTAAGGCAGGGGGGCCGCATGTAAACATGTAGCCAGATCCTGGCGGATCTTGCAGAACTGCGACTTTCCATTGCGCCAAAGCACAGGTTGCAACCTTGTACCTGCTCTCACACCAAGCAATACTCAGCCTATGTCCATGCATCCTCGCAAAAGCTCGCATGCTTTCTTGAGAACAAGCCCTGCATGTCGTGTTCGATGCCCGGCTGCTTTGTTGTCGGATTCATGTGGTTATGCTATGTTATGCTGGGTTTACAATGCTGATGGTGGTATTTTTGCAAGGCTGCAAACGGCCTCCTGCACAAAGCCATCGAGCAGGCGGCAGATGAGGCAGCGCGGCACGCAGTGAGCATCGTGACCCAATTTGCAGCCTGTGCTCCATAATACCCCTGCGCGATCCACTGCACGAATGCACGCGTACAGCCATGCGCAAGTTCTGTGCATCTCGATGCCATCGGTCCATGAGTATCCTCACAGTTCACCATCCGTAGGATGCAGCATGATGCAGCAGGGATGTTTCATGGAGGATTTCATGGTGTTTCCAGATGCAGGCTGTGGATCAAGCCCGTCTCCGAGCGGAGGCAGGGCAGTCTGCAGAAGTTGTGGAAGCATCGAAGGCAGGGCTAAAGGGCAAAGGGGCTTGGGCTGCTGTGCTCTGCATGCACCCTGCAATGCAGAAGCCTACACATGCGCTGTGTTACATTTATCATGCCACAGGTGCTGAAAGCAGAGCCAGACAAGAACAAGAATGCATGATTGATTAGTGATCGCATGTGGTCGTCCATGCGGGTCACTGAGATCAGACGAAAATGCGGAGCAAAGGCGTTTGACGCTGTGAGGTCTGGCCATTCTTCCTGTTGCCGGTAATGCTCTCATGGCAAGTCCGTGATCGGTTTGAAGTCATCAGTACCCACAAAAAAATCATAGGTGCACACGCCCAGGTGCATGTACACGCGTGCTGGTTCGATATCTCCTCACATTGTTTGGCTCAAGTGCAAAGAGGCCCCTAGCAGCTGTGAAACATCCACATGGACCTTCTGAAGGGATGGATGCCAAAGTCAAGTACGCCAGTCGTGCTGCACATATACGAGCCTTTGCTGAATCAAAAGGGCGGTCTCTACTTCTCTGTTGGTTGGCCAGAAATCCTCTTACCCTAATGATTCCCTAATGCTTCTGTACCAATTGCTGCCAATTGCCCATGCACCCACGAAGGATCTGGGCAAGCAGCTCTATGGCGTCAACGTGGTTTGCAAAGCTATCGGTACTGGGGCCTTCCACGCAGGAGTCCGACTTAGTATCCGACAAGTACTCTATAGACGTAGAGCCAACATGACAAAGAGAGGCCTAGGCCCTAGGCAGTTGAAGAGTGTCGAAGTCCGAAGGCTTGGCGTTCAGCATGTACCATGCGTGCGTGGAAGGCAAGCCCAAAGCAGCCAGTTCAGACGCAAGGATTTTTTAAGGTGTCGGTTCTTAGCCGTTCCTCACCTCCTCGCAGATGAAGGTTTGTGTGTGTGTGATGAGGTACGACGAAGCTGTCTAGTAACTCTAGTATTGGTATGGAGGAGTTCGTGCTGTGGCTCAGCGAGTCCAATACATAAGGCATAGTTTTGCCAGCTCCGCCTGGTGTTCAGGAGTGGAGGTGTATGACAGAGAGTGGAGCTACGGCGGCGGCGTGAACGGCCCGAGCGGTTCTGGTGTTTTTTGCTGCAGGCCACGAGGCAATGCGCTTGCCTGCTACACGGAGATTGCGTGGCATCCAGGATATGGCTTTGAGTAGGAGAGCTTCAAGGTGTCGATTCTGTGCAGGCTGCGATGCCCACTCCTACCGTGAAGCCGTTCCTATGGGCACCACCGCAATGTCCAAGAGCGCCGTAGAAGCGCATTTGGCTTAGATCTGCGCGTGCTCCCGACGTGTGGTAGCTGCATGCAGATGCAATCCATCCAAAGCTTGTGCACTTAGGCTCATAAAGGATCTTGCCAAGAAGTGGAAGGGTGCCGAGTATGATTTGCTGCGGCACAACTGCTGCCACTTCTCCGCAGCTCGGATGCAATGATTGCGATCATTCGGGGCTGCATGTACCTGTGACCAGTGGCCACATCCGGGTAGCACCAGGCGTAGGTTCCTGAACCCCCGTGTATCTGAGGACGCACTCTGCATCGCCCTCGGGGTGGGGCACGTCCCTGGCTGGGTCACAAGCTTGGCTGGAGTGGGTGCCATGTTGAGGACAGGCATCGGAACACAGAGTGGTGACATTTCGCCCGCCAGATTGCCGAAGTTTGCAGTCAATGGTAATGTCGTGCCGTGATCCTTGTGTGCAAAGGTCTTTTGTTGTGCTATGTTCATGTTCTATCCCAGGAGCGGCACTCGCCTAGCCGCCGTGGGTGCTGCTGCTGCCTGCACCTGATCTTCTCTTGCTTGGCCAGGCCGAAGTATATACAAAGACACCCGGAAGTACTGTGTTTGCATGATGCCTTAAGGTACCGCAGCTTGCGGTGCAAGGCTTCACAGCAGTGGCTGAACTACTGGCAGGCCCGGACCCTGAGGCCGCGCGCCGAGTAACTAGCAGCGTCGGTTGGCTTAGCTTTGTTTGCGCATGTCAGCCCCTTCAGCTTTTGATAAGGAGGAAAGGCAGCTCGAGAACGCCAAGCCACTTGAGGACAAGTGACACGTGCAGAAGTGCGGCGTGCAGCTTCTCCGGCTGTGACAACAATGTAAGAAGCGTAACAATCACGTTTGCTTACAACACGGTAGGGCGGGGAGGGCTTGTGAAGTGCACTTGCAGGAAGGAGATTCCCCCGCAGATGCACGAAGACCTGACCCGATGAGCATCTGGTCCAAGTATGCCCCAGTACTGTACTGATTACATGGAGAGGTCGCTACGTGTGTGCTGGGATGATGGGTCAAGGATGTCAGATCGACGGCCAGCTGAAAGATGCCGACAAATACGCAGCATACGCAGGATACATCCGTAGGGCTCCTGCAGAAGCTGGCCGCGTGCTCAGAGACAGAAGCTCGGCAGCACGGAAGGGATGCTGACTCCTCTATAATAGAGCCCAGAGAGCCCAATACCCCTTAACTAAGGAATATGCCTTAAATTATAAAAGGATCCTTAGTATGGTTTAAGGTATATCGGTATATTCCTTGGGAACTGCTGAAGTTGGTTGAGTTGCAGACGCTTCTGGAGAGGCGCTGTCAAATCCGATGGCACTCCTTCGCCGAGAAGTCCTGCACCCACAAGCCCCCCATCAGCTGCAAGGTACGCACTATTATTACGATTATGGTAATTATTATAATGTCTATGATTATTAGTAGTATTATTCATGCTATTACTAGTGTCCATGCTGCCATGTTCCTCTCTCAACTGGGTAGCGGCGGGCGGTTGCAGCCGCGGGCCTCTACCAGGATGGAGTCCGAGCATGCGGGACTTGCTGTGGGCGACGCAATAGAGGTCTTCAGCAACTCCCGCATCTTGGCCGAAAGACTAGAAGACATGAGCAGCCGCGTCAGGCAGCGTGGGTTTTAGGTGACCTCTACTGGACTCGCAGTCATGGTTCGGGTAAACGCCTGTCTTGTTCAACATGTCTTTGGCTGGCATGAGCCCTTCCAGACTTGAGCCTTCTCGAGCCATGACAGAGCATGAGGGATGGGCAGCCTGAAATTCAGCGGAAAGGCAAAGCAGGTGAAGCAACTCACGAATGGCATGCTGAAGGATCTGACTGCCACGATGCAGAGCTGCGCAGACATGCTCGCGAATTTACTGCTATGCCTCGTGGTGGTGTTGACCATGAGCCACAAACGAGCGTGGCACGGAATTCACTTTCAAATGCCTGGGGCTGATGTGAGGAGTCGATGATAGACTCTTCATGGTGAAGGTGTATGGAATTACCTAGTGACCCAGTGACCCATCTGAGCCAGAGAGCATGCGTCGAAATCACGATTTCCCCGGGTCTTTGTGGGAGGAAACCGGCATTGATCTTTGTGGCGTGGATGTGCAGAGATCTAAAGGCCCCCAATTCGTGCTTCACAAGGTTCCACATTCATAGCCGGTATGCGCAATGCCGACCAGCATGAAAGAGGCTATTTGTCTGTCTTTGTCTGTGTCGATTTCTTCTTTGCGCCTTTCTTCTTTTCAGAACGTTAATCCACATTTTCCATAGTCTAATAATCCTTTAAGGAATTCCACTAAAATGTTGAAATGGCATGCTGTCCTTTCAATAACTGGTAAAGACGTTTATGGAAAGATTATTTAATTCTCTATCTACTTTCTCTACCTATAGCTTCTTTAAGTTCATTTCGGCTTCTCTTTTTTCTCTTGGATTGCAAGCATGTGGATTACTTACTCCATCATGTGGTACCTGAATGGGATTTCTTATGCCAATATGCTGGGTGAAAAGCTGTAGCAGGATTTACTCGCTTCTATATTCATCCTTTTTCACGATGAGAAGTCTGTCAATATCGCTCAAGTGTTTTTTCAGACGTCCAGTACGTAGATTTAATGGTTTTTATCTGTGCCTTTTGGTCTCTTTCACCCTTTTCCGTTCCTTGGATGGGTGGTCAATATCCTGTAGACAACTTTCTCTATCTTATGGTCGTATCTTGACATTACATCGAATCATTATCTTCTGAATTTCTGGGCTTATTCGTTTCACTTACGCACTAACGGTCCCCGTGCTCCAGATGCTTTGAATGGTGAAGGGTCCTCATCGGTTGGTGAGGGTGATTGCGCTCCTAAGCTATCTCTACCGCGCATCAAGAGGGAGACGGTGGAACGCCTCGACGAGACATCCAGCCCTTCAAAAACTCTGTCGAGGATTAAAGGAAAGGCAGACGATGTGCGGCACAACCCAGAAGAGATGCATCTGGCTTAGGGCTTAGGGAACAAGGCGTTTGTTGAATGGTAGGAGCAGATCTAGAAACGGGCGGCGATGAGAAGCACTTGACTCCTCAAGTAGCCTGAGTTTGGGGCGCTTTGGCTTCTGCGAGTTTCACCTGCCTTCAGATCCAGGACAACTCTGGTGTTCTGGAGAGGTCAAATCCGTGGACTTGCAAGGGAGCTGGGCTCAGCACTGACCCCCAAAAACCGATGCAGCCCGATGCACGCGAAGTCGCAAACATGTTGATCAGGTCCCCGCCCGCCGTGGAAGTGATTTTCTGGCTACCCGGCTCATCCGACATCGGCACTGGCGAGATGGCTGCCAAAAAGGCAACCGCCGTTTGGGTGTGCAGGGCTTTCTGTACATGAGCGATCAGCGTTTGAGTTTGGTGGCTTTTGGGGGCTTGTGGGTTTGCAAATTGTCCCTGGCCAGCATCTTCAAAGGCTGCATGGGATGCACAGTATCTGATTCAGCCACAGCATTGCGAGCAGCAACGTTATCTCGCAGCATGTGGCCCAGGTGGCACTGGGATCCAAGGAGACTGAGCGCATTGTGCAAGTTTGAAGTTCAAGGATTTGAGGTTTGTGTCATGTCATGTCTCCCTCGCATGAGGACTTGCGGAAGTTGCAACTTGGCAACCGAGTCGGTTGTGTGGTCCTGTGGCACATCACAACCGGTGCCTGTTCCGCTGGCCTGAGGCAAAGAATGTCCTCCGAGCCTGCGCCATCTTGGTCGGTGGGAGATTTGGTGGAAGTGTCGGGCGCTCCGTGCAGGGCAAGGTGTACAGCCTCAATAGCCCCGCATCCAAGCTTCTGAGGTTTAGCAACTCCAAGAACTCCTGGTGTTCCGGCCGTATCACCCAAGTATCGACAGACAAGGTGCTCCAGCGGCCATGCGCATGTGAATGCAGTGAGATCTCTGCTAGCCCTACGTGGCTTCGGGATGCTTCGCAACTCCCTGAGGTGAAGGTTGTGTACCAGCCACCAGGTGCATCACCCGATGATTGGCTCGAAAAGGAGCTGCTCGGTCAGAAGGAAGGGGTGGCAGCAAACCGTTTTCCAAACTGCTTAGTTGGTACCTATTTTTTTAATTGCAGTCTTAAGTGAGCATCGCATTTCAGGCTGATGATGGGATCCGATGCATTGAGGAAGGCCCAACTCTCGGAGATTGCATCCCCCGTGAGCCCGAAGAAGAAGCTGATTTGGAGCGACGCAGAGGAGGCCGCTTACAAATCAGCCTTCTCACAGCTTCGACCAAAAAAACAGACACCGCCCGTGTTGGATGCGAACGTCCTGGCCGAGTACTTGAAAACCTCAAAGCTGCCTAGGAAAGTGCTCAAAGAGATTTGGAAGGCTTCAGTAAAGTCTGCCACTCAAGCAGACTTTGAAGAGTTCGGGAGCTGTTGCCGGCTCGTGGCGCACTGTCAGAAAGCGCTGAAGGAGCGCGACCAGGCAACCATCGAAGTGATGGAGCAGGCAGGCGTGCAATTCAAGCAACTATTGTTGGACAAATTCGTGGAGCAAGCTCCCGCAGTACTACCGGACTTTTATGCTGGGCCAGCCAGCTCAGGGTACTGATGGACCCGATTGCCAGCATTCTCTGCCTCACACGTATACTCTCGTATACTGATAGGAGACCCCAGCTCTCCAGCCAATCTCAGCCAGAGTGCACTTCGTGATCGGCACTCCATCGCCAGCGTGCAGAAGTGTGGGCGGCTACATCGTCAATGCGGGCTTACTGCAATGAGCGGCTGACGAAGTTGAATGGCACAGGTCTCCTTGGACCATGGCTGGCTCACAGGGTGGGAAACAGGTAGCCTTGTTGTATCTTCTTGTCACAGCAGTAAGCGGAGACTGCGGAACTGCCTGGTCTTCTTGCCACTTTGGGTCGGTAGGTGGCCAGGCCATGTCAATTCACCACGAAAACATACTTGGGGCAAGATATGGCAAGTAGGACTCGTCAGGTTCTTTGGGCCAAGAGCCCCGTCCGTCTACAGACCTTTGGCTCAAAGGCGTTGTTGAGCGCCCTTGCTTCGGAACGGATGAGATCAATGCAATCACAGGCATGCCAAGCCGTTTGCTTCACAAATTCCTTGTCCGACTGGTCTGTATACTCAGTTTATACAATCATGAATGGATACGCTGCGCACACTGCGGAAACTGAGCTGGCCCAGTTGAAGGACTGCGCTTGGTTTTCCACGCCCAAGGTCTCATGACAGTACACCCGCGGGGACTGTTGGATGCACAGCTGCGCAACGTGAACTTGTGTCTGGTCAGGCTCAAGTCATGTGCGCCCCTCGCACTCTAGCAGAAGCTTGCATGCATTGCACCGGCAATGAGGGTGAAGAAGCCTCCCAACCTTCGAACTGTGCTTGGGAAATGGTTGCTGTTTCTCTGTTCTCGGGCTTAACCGCGAGAAAAGACTTCGAGCACTTTCCTTCGCCATGGGCAAAGAGGCTTGCGAAGCAAGCCAGGCCTGGTGTATGCAGGCATTTGCAGCTTCACGGATGTTCAACATTAACTTAGGCGGAGCAGCCCCAAATGGCTGAAACTACCGTGGACCTCCAAGTATGGTTGTCTGTCAGGTGACGGAGGAGTCAGATGGCATGGCAGCGCGTCGGAAATTCTGTTTGCCGCTGTTCGTCCCGTCCCTGCTGCAAGGAAAGAGTACAGCAGCGTGGCTCTCAGTCATTGAAGCATCGTCCGTCTCAGACAGTCTTTGTCTCCCTCACCCTCTCCTCCATCTCCCTCTCCAGTCTATCACATTCTCCCACACACTGGCAGGTGGTGACACCCATGCTGCCAATATTCATTCAAGAAGATCTTGGTGGTGCGGGCCTAAGCAGCACAGCACACGTTTTGAGGGGTGTGCGGTGCTGTGCGGTGGTGCGCGGGGCGCTTTGTTCGGAGGAAGCGTTGCCGACGTCGGCCTTGTCGCTTCCACTTACGCCCTGGCGCAAGTGGCCACTTCGGTTCCTGTCGGCTTTATCCTTGCGCACTTCAACCACAGGCCATAGATGGCCATAGACTCTGTGGACTTCATGAAGCGAATTTTTGCCCAAACAGTTCAGCCATGTTCAGCGATTGGGAATGGGGCTTTGATGGGCGATTGGGGAGTCTTTCTTGGGTGATGTGAGGTTTGACGCTGTGAGATAGTTCCTTGTCCAGTGCACGGAGGAGCCTTTTTTGTGCATCTTGTTTACCCTTGCTCAAGCAGCTCCGATCGGCAGGTACTCCTCAATGGCAGCGCTTGTGGTATGCGTACTGTGCCCGGACTGCACAGAAGCACATTGATGAAAGTCTGCGTAACAATCCAAGTGTTGAGCCGACGCGACCTGATCCGGACTTGAAATCGCCCTGCGATGCGGATTCGCCCCAGCTGCGCAGGAGGGATAAAAACCCAAGTGCTAGGTAACCAAGTGAACAACTTCTCAATTTCCTGAATCCTGGAAATCAGCGGCACGCGATGATGGTGTGCCAAACCATACCGAGACCTCGCTTGTCGAAGTATCCCGATCTGTTGTTTATGAACATCCACCAACAAGTATTTAATGAACATGCGTTCGTCTATTGGAAAGCATTTTGGTTTGAGAAATCCAAAGTCTTGCCGTGCAGGGCATCTTTGCTTGCTGGTCGCAGCTCGAACATCCTCCAGCTGCTGTGATCCGCAGCTCAGCGAGTTTTAACTTGAAAGTCCATGTCGGCTTTCCACTTGCATGCCTCCAAACCTACACTGCTTCATTTCAAAGCCTCGCGGGTTGAGGATTTGGTGGTTCTTTGCCTGCCCTGTGATTTTAGTTGATGAGTTGTTTTGCACAGTCATGGTGGAGAAGTTGCAGAGAAGTCGCAGAAACTTTTGCCACTGCTAGTTACGAGGCTTTGTGGCGGGTGCGGCAGCCAATTCTTGGAACCTGGCCCGGAGGTGTGGATTGCAGCCGAGGTACCAAAACAGGCCTGACACCCGAACCATGTATGTACCCTTCTGCTACTTCAGACTTCTGCTTCTACAGCACATCCATGTCCATCTTGCGTGTGCAGGTGCGTGGGCGCATTACTGGCACCCTTACCGGCATGAGCCGATGGGCTGGACTTCTTGGTGCGAGACTCGCATTGCAGTCAGAGAGTTAAGCAGGCCCCAGCGAGGCGATAGTGTTGGGGATCTTGCCCGCTAGATGCCTTTAAGGAAGGCAGACAGAGTTTCCTCAAACCTTGCAGAAGAAGATGGAGATGGGAGGGATAGAGAAAGAGCACTTTGACACAGTTGGAGAGCAAAGGAAGGAAGGAAGGAAGGAAGAGAGGGAGAGAGACAGCGAGAGTGAGCTTGAGTGTTGTCATTCCCTCGGTTTCGCTGGCTAGGGCTAACACGCTGAATCTTAGCCCGAGAGGCGCACGTAGCTGCGTGAGGGTGGGGTCGCACACACGCCTCGGCGCGGCAATTTCTAGGGCTCGGTTAGCTGGAAGGAGGGAGGGAAGGAAGGAAGTCAGACCAACCTGCAACAGACAGCAGCTTGCGCGTCTTCATGGTGGCAGTCAGCATTTGTGCGCTGCAGGCTGCTGGGTGGAGTCGTTGCGGAGATCGAGACGCGCGACATCTTTCTGGTACAGGCAGCTTTCTCCTTTTCTGCGCTGGCAGTGGCTCAGTTGGATGGACGGCGCAGTGCAGGCTGCCCTCAAAAGTTCTGTCGATGTCTTTCACGTCACACGAGCGACGCAAGGTTCTCATGGCTTACCAAAAATGTGAGAATCAAGAGCTGTCGAAAGAGCCAGCTGGCGGCCAGAAGGCTGCTCGTGATGCTGTCGTAAAGGACCTGGTTGGACGCTTGTGTGTCTGAAGTGTCGTTGCACATTGCTTTGGCATGTTGGACTGACAACGCCTGGCACGAGTCATGCAGATGTGCTAGTGTAATGTCAGGTCAGCAATTCCTCGCCAATAGATCCTGCCTCAGCAGGCGCAAACTGTAAAGACCTGCTCATGGCCAGCAACGGAGGAGCCGCACCTTCCATCGCGGAGGTTCTCCGTGCATCTTTTCACGGGCTATGGACTGCCGGCTCCTTGCTATGCAGGACGCGCCCTCTCCTTGTATTCCCCCGCTTTCCTTTAATTCAAAGCCTTCGACAGCACAGCATCCCCCCTAGCAAGCCCAGGCACGTATGCGTTGATGCTGAATGGCTGCCGGCAGACTTGGCTCATCCTCCTGCCCATGCAAGGGCGTCAGGTCGGCCTCAACAAAGCCACCATTGGTTGCCTTGTGGCCGCTGGTAAATTTGTGGATGGGCTCGTTGGCATGACCATCAGTGGAGACTCAGTCCTCCAGTTGGCATGAGCTTTGCTTGTAACCAAAATCGCACCGTGATGCCAACAAAAAGCCGAAGCTAAAGCAGCGGAGTGAGGAGAGCTCATGGACCGCTGGGGTCGGCGCAGCGTGGGTGCCCGGCGATGCTGATCATTTCCTTGGCATACTGGCTCTCGGCGGTTGCTTCGGGATGTCGGGGCCTGAGAGCAGAATATCGTAGTTTTATGTATCATTGTCATACACTATATCATAGATACAAGCTGACATATTTTAAGGGGGCTGCGCCATGGGGCGGGCAGCGCACGCAGAAGCCCGGGGCGAGCAGTTTCTAAGCATGTTGAGGCCCCTAAACTCCCTTAAAATCTCTAAGCGTTAAGTTTCTAAGCATTTTCAGGCCCCTAAACTCCCTTCAAATCTCTAAGCGTTTGAGGCTCCTAGACTCCCTTAACGTTTCTAAGCACTTTATAAGGCCCCTAAACTCCCTTTTTCCTAGCCCCGGGCTTAGACACGTCGCTTATGCCCGCCCTTTGGGGGGCATCATGCTCCTGATGCGCCCCCGGGGTCCCGCCCCGGGAGCCGCTGATGCTCCTGATGCGCGCCTGGGGGTCCCGGGCTGGACCCCTGATGCTCGTGATGCGCGCCCTCTGGGGGGCTCCGTGGCGACGCAAAAAAACACGAAAAAAAAAAACCGTTCACCGGCGGCACGCGGGGGTCGGCGGCACTGGCGTCCCCCTAATTCTGCTTCGCAGAAGGCCAGAGGCCAGCAAGGCTATTCCCGGGACGACCGGGCTAAAAGGTCCGCATTTGCTCGGTCCTTTGGGGACCCTCGCGCTGCCCGATTTAATGGCTACCGCCAGTGCCGCCGACCCCCAACAGGGGAAGCACAGCCGGGCGGACGGTGCGGGGTGTAGGTCCAGGGCTAGGGGGCAGGGTGGAGGGGGGTCTGCAGGGTTCCGTCGGCAGGATGTGAACACGAGGCCGTCCGGGCTTGCGCTTTGGACGGCTTCGGGTGTCAGGGGTGCCTGCCTGTTCCTCGTGGAATCTTGCTGATGGAAGCTTTCGCAGGGGTCGCGTATCGGCGTATTTGGGGGGGGGGGGGGGGGGGGACTCGGCGTATTGGTGTATTTACGGCTTATCGGCGCATGGGCATATTTCCCAGAGGCTTTGGGGGGCGGGGGGGGGCGAACGGCGTACAATTTCCGGGGGAGGAGGGGGAAGCGGCGTATCGGCTTAGCGGCGTGCTTTCCGGGAGGGGGGGGTTAGCGTATCTATTGGAGAGGGGGG